TCCTTTACACACTGTAGATACTTAATGACATGTTTGCTGAATGAATTTTTGAGAAGCATTGACAAAGTTTATTTTGTGTTTATATAGACTGTAGGTTTGTTCTAGTTCTTTCTGTTCCCTCTTTACTATGGACCAAAGCCATCTAACTCTGCTCTCTTATCTAGGTCCTTAGAATAACTTTGACACAACTTGGTTTTGGCTGTAAGAATGTTAAAGAGAGGTAGGGGTATCTTGGGGGGCTCTCTCTCTCTCCCTCCCTCCTCTCTCTCTATATCTCTGTCTCTTTCTCTGTCTCTCTCTCATTCTCTCTCTTTCTCCTGGGACTTACAGTTTCATTGGTGGTGAGGAACTCCTATTGATGCACATCAGTAACTCCTCTGTAACTTATTAGACCTTTAGAGTGGCCTGGGGTACTCTGAGGTTAAGTGAAGTACTCATGGTGACGCAACTAGCATGTGTTGGAAAAAGAACTTGAACCCAGGTTTTTCTATCTTCAAGGATTGCCCTCTAGCCACTATGCCAACGTGCTTCTCTATATTCTTTCTCAGCTGTTGCCTAGACCTAGATCCAGAACCACAGCAATACTGGGGTCCTCTTGGCTTCTTATTCCTGGGGTGGAGTGGGATGGTGGTGGTCCAAAGCCTTATAAAAAGGTTCTTTCAAGGGAATACAAGATTGGGAGGTGGTCCCACTATACTGGGCTTTCTTTCCTATTCTTATTCCTAGATAAATCCATTATCATCTTTCCTCCTGTTTTTCAGGTTCTAGTCCCTTTCTCTTGCTCATATTCACCCTTAGAATAAGTGATGTGTACTAGCAAAATGACTGTCTGCTGAGACTTTACAAACAGCTGAGGGAAGAAGGAAAACAATGGAAAGGAGAAAGGGAAAGATAAACCCAACTGAATGCAGTATTCCAGAGAATAGCAAGGGGAGGTAAGATTTTCTTAAATGAGCAATGGAAAGATATAGAAGAAAACAATAGATTGGGAAAGACAAGAGATCTCTTCAAGAAAATTAGAGATATCAAGGATAAAGGTGGTAAAAGACAAACATGGTAGAGATTTAAAAGATTCAGAAGAGAGTAAAAAGAGGTGGCAAGAATACACAAAAGAACTATACAAGACAGATCTTAACAGCACCGATAACTGTGATGGTGTGGTTACTGATCTAGAGCCCAGCATCCATGGAGAATGAAGTCAAATGGGCATTAGGAAGCATTGCTAAACAATAAGGCTAGTGGAGGTGATGGAATTCCAGCTGAGCTATTTAAAATCCTAAAAGATGATGCTGTTAAAGTGCTGTGCTCAAAAAAAAAATAAAGTGCTGCATTCAACATGCCAGCAAATTTGGAAAACACAACAGTGGCCATTGGCCTGGAAAAAATCACTTTATGTCCCAATCCTAAAGAAGGGCAATGCCAATGAATGTTCAAATTACTGAACAGTTGCACTCATTTCACACTCCAGCAAGGTTATGCTTAAGATTCTGCAAGCTAGGCTTCAGCAATATGTGAACCAAGAATTACCAGAAGAGCAGGTTGGTTTTTGAGGAGGTAGAGGAACTAGAGACCAAATTGCTAACATTCGCTGGATTATGGAAAAAGCATGGGAGTTCCAAAAAATCTTCTACTTCTGCTTCTTTGACTATACTAAAGCTTTTGACTATGTGAATCACAACAAAATGTGTCAAGTCGTCAAAGAGATGTGAGTACCAGATCATCTTACTTGTATCCTGAGCACCTGTGTGTGGGCCAAGAAGCAACAGTTAGAACCAAACATGGAACAACTGATTGGTTTAAGATTGGAAAAGGAGTACAACAAGGCTGTATATTGTCACCTTATTTATTTAACTTATATGCAGAGTACATCATGTGTAATGCAAGGCTGGATGAATCAAAAGCTGGAATTAAGGTTGCTATGAGAAATATCAACAATGTCAGATATGCACAATGGTACCACTCTGATGGCAGAAAGTGAAGAAGAATTAAGAAGCCTCTTCATGAGGTTGAAAGAGGAGAGTGTAAAAGCTGGCTTGAAGCTTAACGTAAAAAAATAAAGATCTTGGCAACTGGTCCCTTCATTTCCTGGCAAATAGAGGGAGAAGAAATGGAAGCAGTGTCAGATTTTATATTTTGGGCTCAAAGATCACTATAGATGGTGACTGCAGCCATGACATTAAAAGACGCTTGCTCCTTGGAAGGAAAGCTATCACAAATCTGGACAGCATATTTAAAAGCAGAGACATCACCTTACCAACAAAGGTCCATATAGTCAAAGCTATGACTTTTCCAGTAGCAATGTATTTCTGTGAGAGTTGGACTATAAGGAAAGCTGAGCACCACAGAATCAATGTTTTCAAATTGTAGTGCTGGAAAAGCCTTTTGAGAGTTTCTTGAACAGCAGGGAGGTCAAATCAGTCAATATTTAAAGAAATTAATTCAGACTATTCACTAGAAGATCAAATAGTGAAGCTGAAGCTTAAATACTTTGGCCACATAATAAGACAGGACTCATTGCAGAAGACCCTGATTTTGAGAAAGACTAAAGGCAAAAGAAAAGGGGGTAGGAGAAGATAAGATGGGTAGATAGTGTTGTGATAACAAAGAACATGAACTTGGACAGACTTCCAGAGAGAATGGAGAATAGAAGTACCTGCTATTCTATTGTCCATGGGGTCACTAAGAGTAGGATAAGACTGAATGACTGAACAACCATTAGCTAAAAATCAGCTCAAAGCTCTAATTTCAACTTACAGGGCCTTCACTGCCATTTGGTAAAGGGGTACAAGAGGTATCTGACTTGTCCCACCTACATCTGCTCTCAAGAGTAGACATCTCCCCTAGGCCTTTCCCAAATCCCAAAGGTGGCCTCTGTGTTTATTTCACACATAAGTGCTTCACCTTTTTTATCTCTTTCCCTGAATTTTTATAGGTATATAGCTGAGGAGTCCTCATTTTCACCTCAACCTCAATTTTTATCAAGGGATTGTCCAACTCTCTTCTCTAACTTTCCCACTGAGCCAAATAGGCTTTTGTGGAGGTCTGGCAAGGAAGTGAAGTTCTCCACAGTGATGGGCTGGCTTTTATCCAATGCATCTACTCTAAGCCAGCAATACTTTTGAACCCAAATTCCCAGCCATCAAGGGGAGGATGGAGATAAGGACCTTCAAGGTCCGGAACAGGACCATGGTTCTGCAGGTAGGGCAGGCCTGTGGGAACAGGATACTTCCCAAGGGAAGCTCTCAGCCCTTTTGTCTTCATGTTTTTGAGGTCTTTGGCAAAAAGAAATGTCTACTCCAAGATCTGTGGGGATTTCCCATTTGGTAAACAGGAGTGGAATTGGAAACAGTTCTGCCGAAGGGCAGCTTCCTTCTTTTGAAGCTCCATCTGACAATCACTCAGCTTAGCCTTTCTCCTTCCCTGTGTTTCCCTCCCATTAACCAGAAGGTGGAGTGTGCAGGAGGAGGGAGGCCTTCCTTCCAGTTCTTTCTTTCTTCCCTCCCATTCTGTGCCACTGGAGTTGAGCAGAGGCTGAAATTGCAGCACCCACCCTGTGGGCTGCATCCTCTCAGCGGCTGTCACTGACCCCAAGCCTGGGCCTGAGCCCAGTGCATGTGCCGGAGGAGTTGGGGTAAGGGTGGGGAGTGTTGGCCTTGCTGACAAAATCTACTTGGAATTTCTCAAGGTTGTGGTTTGGGATTTCAGTCTGCCAGGGAGTGTGTCTGAGAAAAGCAGAGAGAGCTAGAAAGAAAGGGAGAGGAATCTGAAAAAGGAAGATAAGAAAGAGGCTGTGATGTGCTTCCTGTGATTGACTGTGGGGTAAGTGGAGCACTATGAATCACACTGCTGAGTATCAGAAATACCCAGAGAGTGAACTCCATTCATATCCACAGACCTCTTCTCGGCACAAGTCTTCAACCTCTCCAGATAATGATTGAGCTAAGAATGGAATGGGACCCAGAATGGACCCACTATTCTGACTATGTGACCTTAGACAATTTCCTCTTAACTTTTCTAGGTCTCACTATCCTCTTCTAGAAAATAATGGAGTTTAATTCAATTACTTTTTAGATCACTTCCCTGTTACCTGGGTTCTCAAACAAAATCAGGGAATTCCTCAAAAATGTCCACCCCACTATACTCTAGGAAGTCCCCTGACTTCCCAGGAACTCTTAGCACTTCAGAGGCTTTCTGGTTAGTATTTACAGCTATGGTATAGGGGAAGAGAGACAGACATTTCTACCTTCAGTATCTGAGGAAATAATCTAAAAAGCCTAAAACTTCCATTCCTATGAATATGCAACATTTGCATATATCTGCATACATTTACATACTCCTTTTCTTCATTGAGATTTGCTCTGCTAATTATTTATTTTCAGTGAGATTAGGACAAGGATAGAAAAAGATTAGGAAAAAAGAAGAGCTGCTCTTTCTATTAATACCCGACCAGTTTTCTTAAAGAGAGATGAATTATTTTACCATATTGTAAAAGAGAATTGATTTATGCAGGACCTACGGATATTTGTAAATGTCAATGGGAATCTTTTCTGTTTCTGGAATAAAGAATTCCCATTCTAAGCCTAGGGTATTCCCCTTTTCTGCTCCCAATAATTCTAACTGCCTCTCAAATTTTATAATCTGGAAAAACAGAAAAGTTCCCTTTCTTTTAGGTCTAGGCTAGACTGAGACTTGAGTGCCAGTCTGGAGCACATTCTAAGATCAATACTTGGCCTCTAGTTATGGCCAATGAGAAACTCTGAGTCAATAGTCCCAAATACTTAGGGCCCTGTATTTTATATAGGGTACATCAAGCCAATGGCAGAACAAGGCATGACACTTTAACCTAACATACTCAGCAATCTTTTTCTTTTCCCAGGTAATGATATGGGTTTCCATAAGCTAGGAATTAGGCCACTGAGGTTGGAAGATGAATCATCTTGAAAAAAAGTAGGGACAGGAATCCTGAATATATGGACATTTCCATATCTGCAGCCATTAGCTCAGTGACTTGATTTCAATTTATTTTAGTTACAAAGAGGAACCAAGAACAAGTCTCAGCAAAATAAATTAGCTGTTCCCTCCCCTTCTGCTAGGGAAGACAGAAGAGATCAGAAAGTCCTAGACCCACCCTTTCCAGAGAAGACCTCCTTTAGGATCCAGGAGAAAAGGAGGGAAGCTTAGCAAACTCAGGACTTTGCACTTTCTTAGGAGCTGTAACTGTTCCCAGTTATTTAAACCCTTTCCAGAAATATATCCCTTTCTGTTTTACTTTCTCCTGTTACTTCACAAAGACTACTGGACTGGACACATGCGGATGGTTCTTCTGAGAATACAGGTCTTAATGGTGCTGCACAACTCCTGGGTAGATTACATTAGAAGAAAAATTATTATAATCACCACCCACCCAAGGGTTAGGAATCATGGGTTTTTCCATGGGCAGCAAGAGGGCAATCAAGTAGTTGGGGGACAACACAGTGCATTTCATCCTGTTCTAGTCCAGTGTGTGAAGGACATAGAGTGGGGCATGAAAAGGGAAGGAGCTTGAGATTTCTCTTCTCAATCCTCTAATTATAGAGGGGAAATCAGAAAGGACACATTGCTGACCCATCAAGCTTTCACTCCCTGAAATTATTTCTTGGGAGATACTGATGAATGAACTAAGTTGCAAAGGGCTAAAAAGAGCCCTTCCCTTCCCCCAGGTTCCATAGTGTGAATTAGGGTGGGAGATGGGGATGAGTGTCCCTCTCACTTGCATACATTTACCCACTCAGTGACCCGGCATTCATCACAGAGAACATAACAGCACCAATGGAAACGGCAGTGGCATCGCTCAACACGGGTCTGACGGAGAACATTATGCCCTCGCCCACAGCACAAACTCCCACAACCATCCAGGAGGCGGCTGGTCTTGTTGCAGACACGTCCTTGGGTGCCTGGTGATCCCAGGGCTGGCTCCCAATCACAAAAGTCAGGAGATTTCTCAAAGTAGACGAGTTCACCTGAGAGACGTCGAGGGCGAAGCCGGGGCTGGAAGGCACCTGAGTTGCGGTTGTGGGCGTTGATGAAGACTGCCCGGTTTAATCGTTCCCTAAGTGCTGCCCCAACCACCCGGAACTCTGGTGCTGCTCTCCAACAGGTCTTGAACTGGCAGCTGCCTGATGTGCCATGGCACTTACATTTCTGTTTCAGATTCTCAGTCACCACCTGGAGCATGGGGGTGAGGGGTGGATGATGTGGGGGGGGGTGTTTTCAGGTGTTATCAGGAAAGGGTGATGAATGAGAAGGAAAGAAGAATTATCATGGCATTATGAAACTGTAAGACAATTTAAAGATCATCTACTCTAACCCCTTCATTTATAGATGGATAAACTGAGGTAAACAAGTAAAATGACTCATCCAAAGTAACATTGCTAGTCAGATGAAGACAGGAATAGAACTTACTTCTCCCAACATCTTACCCTTTAAAACAGTATCTTAAATAATGAATATCTGATTGAGTGGAGGAGTTTAGATAAGAGTATCATTGAAGTCCTCTACGCCCCCACCCCCCAAAAGTGTAACTCATATTCCAAACATTCCTTCAAACACCAAAAATTCTATATAAAACAAACCTTGCAAACTGGGGAGGCTGCTATCTATTCTGTGACTTCCTCACCGTAGATTTGAGATATAGGGGCAATCTTCCATGGAGGTACTTCCCATGGAGGTATGACCCCCAACATGCCCTGTCCCCACACACATATGAACAAACACACACTATCACACAAACAGCATGGTACCTGTCTCCCCACCCGGTTGTTGTGGATCCTCATTCGTGCCTGGATGTCTCGTGGAGCCTCTCTCAAATCCAGGAAATCCCGAGAGAATTTTTCCCCAAAGTCCAGGTCATGGTTGCAGCCACCCCATTCCCATGTATCCTGGGGACCAGGGATGGTGCCTGAATTGGGTCCAAGGCCAACTGGAGAGTTAGGAAAGCTTTTGCCACGGGACAGTGTCTGTAGCTGTAACAGTTTGGCTCTCAGCCGGTCCTGTTCTCCACTGCCTTTCCAGCCACAACCACAACTCACCAGTTTACCAAGGCTGCAAGCAGTGGCCACCGAGTGCATGACCCCAGCAGCTAGCATGGAGAAAGAGAAGGCAGTCTCTCGGAAACCTGGGAAGAAGAGACAAGGGCAGTAGGAATGAATAGATAAGAAGGAAGAATGGAAGGAATATAGAACTACCCACCAGCATAAGTTAGAACCTTGCTCAGATCATGTATCCTGACGGGGGCCAAACCTAGAAGAATGGAGGGAAGGCATAGAGGAGCAAATGAACTTTGAAAATGTATACAAGACTCAATTGAAAGCATTTTTGAAAAGCAATGAGTAGAGGAAGTTTAACCCTTAAATGCCTCCAGTACCAGTCCTCCCTCTTTCTACCATGTATATATTCCCCAGTAAGCTGAAAGAATAGGAGAGCCCACTGGGGTTTTGCAAACAAAACAAAAACCAAAACCAAACAAAAACTCTTGCTACTCATATACATACACTTGACCCATAAATCATCACCCACCATTAACAAGACAGACTGTCTCTGAGGTTCTTTTTTACTTAATTACATGAGTATATATGTATTAATTCATGTATATATGCATTTTAACTTCTATAGATAAGTACAAGTTTTGAGGTTCAGCTTAACCTGATTTCAACTGTAAAAAGACATTAGAGAGGGAAAGGAACACAGAGTGATTTACCCTGTGACCCATACTGCCAGAGATGAGGTGTTGGGATCTATATCCCCATAGATAGAGAATACCTGGCAAGGAGGTTGGGCTGAAAGATAATTAGAGCTACAGCCCTCTAACATGCTTAGGAAAACCTACTCTCAAATCTGATTCCAAGGCTTTGAGTTTCTTTTAGTGGGGTGGAACTATTGGTGCCACACTTAATTTGGAGGAAGGGATGCCAGTACTTCCTTACAAAGTCCTGGTTCAGCATCTGACTCCACCATCATCCCTTCCTCACCCCATGGGAAAATGGGTTGCTGGTCCCACCTCTCAATCCCCCCACCCCACAAAGGGTGAAGCTGTTCACACTTGTCTTGGGAATTCCCCGAAGAAGGCAGCTGTCTATTAACCCTTTCTTCCCCAGAGCATAGCCTCCATCTCCCTAAACTAAGCCCGATTTTCACACATTCAATGACTTAACTCAGGGTCGAAGAAGATGCCTCTTAGACCTGGCCACAGTGACCTATTCTCACCCCTCCCACTGTTCCTCACCTGCTCAGGTGCCACCTGGGGCTCTCACAACAGGGAGAGGAGGGGGATACTCCTTGGCTTCAAAGCCATCGGGGTCTTTGTTCCCAGCGACAGCTCCTGGGAACCCCAGCAATTAGGGGAGCAGGTTTAACCCTTAAACGGCTGGGGGCGTCTCCCCGCCTCCGCTGTGGCTGCGGAGGGCATGGCCCAGGCTTGTCAAAGAGTGGGAGGTGGAGAGAGCAATGGGGGAGGTAGGTTGGGGGGGGCGTTTGAAGCTCTCAGCGCTGAGGGAATCTCCCAACTCACAGGTGCAACCCGGGTCGGATTGTGCAGAGCCTAGCGAAGGGGGAGGGGGAGCGGGGAGCCGGAAAGCAGCTGCTTCGCCCGCAGCACAGCAGGTGGAAAGTTGGGAGCATGTCGGGAGAACAGCGAATCATGAAGCCGTGTAGGACTGGAGGCCCAGACAGGGCAAGAAGACCTGGGGAGGGGGAGCAGAGGGGGAAGGGGATTCCCAGGTGAGGCCCCTCCCCTAGCTTTAAACTTTTTCTCCTAGCCTCCACCTGCCCTACTACAGCAGAACAAGCCCTTGGCTCACCCCGCTTCAGGATGGCACTGTGATGTGGCAGCCGGCCGCTGGCCTCCAGGGACGAACAGTTCCAGCGCTGATCCCGTAGCTGGTGTTGGCACTCGTGGACCGCAATGTGCAGGCCCTGTAGCGCAGACGCCGTCACGTCGGGGCTGCGCAGGCACAGGCCGAATTGACGCTTACTGAGACCGGGTAGCGTTAGGCACACGGTGTTGGGAGTGAGTGGAGGCTCCCCAGGAAGTTTCAGCCCCAGGATTTCATTGCTTAATGCTCTGGGGACATATAAAAGACTCGTTGGAGACTGGAAACCAGGGCTCAAATTGGTGGCCCCACTTTCCAACCAGACCCTGTGGTGACTTGAACACCCTAGGTTTTACTAGCATCCATCCATATTCCTCCCCCTTTCTCAGACAGGATTCCGGGCGGTGCTGTACAGGAGCTAAGATCAGGTCAACCGCTTACCTACTGCAAAGGAAGAGGAGCAGGAGCCCGGTGAGGCCTGAGGGCAGAGGCCATAACCGTGGCTCCTCCGTCATGTCCTGGCCAGGGCCTGATGGCTCTAGCGGCAACTTCTTCAATATCTGTGGGAATAAGAAGTAATAACTGTATGTCAGCCAGCTCCCTGGCAGTCTAGAGAGTGGGGAGGTCTGGTCCCTGAGTTTCTCCCTTCTCCATGGAGACTCAGATTTTAAGCTTAACCCAAGTCAGCTTCAGTAAAACCCCATAGATCCATACACCTTGGAGCTCAAGGACTAGACCTAGAAGTCCAGAGGGGCAGCAGCCCAGTTCCCTGCCGGAATGGAAGAGATCCTGACCCCCAACACTTCAAGAACCTACAGACAACTCACAGAGCTTTTCCCAGAGAAACAGATAGGGGCACACGACAGACAAGCACAGAGACCAAAAGGCCCAAAACACATACATACTCACACTTGAACACAATTAGACTTAGGTCATTCACACACACACACACACACACACACACACACACACACACACACCTTACCCCCAATGATTTCTGATAGTGGCTCCCTCTTCTTGCAGCTCCGTGCCTCAAATCTCACCCCGCCACAGAGTTCAGCGACCCTCCTCCCCCTTACTCAGGTTGTGGCAATGGGAGGCGCCCTGAGTGGGTTCCACTGGACCAACGGGATAGAGTTGTGGTCTCCACCGCCACAGCCCTTGGGCTAACCCTAAGGACAGGATGGCTCCTACCTCTGCTACGTTTCAGTGAGAGAAGTTTAAGGGTAATGAGCCCAGAGGACACCTTTCCCCTACCGGCTTAGGGAATCCCCAGGCCCCAAGCCTACACACCTCCCCAAACCACTAGGGAGAAATGGGGGCGGGATGGGGGGAGAGTACAGGTGCTATTGAAGAGGTAGGCTCCTTTCCACCTTAAAGGGAGCTTGAATTTAGCCACTCTGCTACTCGTGCCCCCAAACCCCTACAGGCACAATCTTCAGCCTGGTCCCCAGGAATCCCAGTCTTGGACCCATTTCTCCACTCTCTTGTTTAATGCCTTCCTAGCCCACAAAGAAACTCAGGTTTCTTTCTGCCGCCGTGTCTCCAGCTATCTCTTAATTTCTATGCCTCTACTTCTGTCTGTCTGTCTGTCTGTCTGTCCTATCCCAGTACCCCAGAGTTCCCTGTTACCTCCAGTGGCTTGCGTTCCGAGTTCTTGACTGGTGTGGTTCTGTCCCCTGGCTCCCCTCCACTCCACTCGAGTTGCTCAAGCCGTGGGGAGGCTGGGTCAGGCTCTGCCCCCTCCGCGGGGCCGCATTCTTCCAGGGCCGGGCCACTCCTCTTCCTCGCTTCTCCAGCGCCGCAGCCGGGAGGGAGGGAGGGAGCTAGGGGCTCTGGTTCTGTTCGCGTTGCTGTCGGAGGCTGCTTTGCCGGGACTGAGTGAACTGCAGCTCCTCCCAGAGCCTCGGGCATCTCCACCCCTCGGTTGCCCCCCCTCCCCAACACACACCCCACCTGACCCGGTGAGGCGCAGCAGCTCCCAGCTACCTTCTTTCCCGGCCCAGTTCAGCTCCCAGAACTCTCTCCACGCACTCCACCCCCCCACCCCCAACACAGACGCACACACGCGCGCACACACAGCCACTCCTTCAATGCCCTAGTCTTGACTGACTGCCTAGACTCAGAAGGACTGAAAAGAGTTATGTCCAGCTGTCCCTTCACCTACTAGGCTCATGCTTTTCTTGCTGGAAGGCGATAGAGTGGCTGCCAGTAGCAAGGACTTGTGCCACTTTGCCTCATTTTCCCTCTCCCGGGAATAGAGTGAATAGGGACTCCTTTACAATAAGCCCCTCAGCGAAATGGGGGCAGAGCTGAGAACTGAGCTCTAGAGTTTACATTTCATTGCTCACAGTACCCATCCACCCTCATCTAAATACCTTGGCACTGTCTGATTCCTTGCGGCTTCGCTCCAGTTCACCTGAGAGCAGGGGTCCCATAGAAGGGGACGCCCCTAAACCAGGACAGGTTTCCCCAGAGCAAGAGATAACTGCCCGCCAGGATCTGTCCAGAGAACTCGGGACCCTATGAACTAAGCTTTCTTTGTGTCCTACTTCCTTTTCTATACTTCAGCTACTTCTCCCTGTGGCTCTCCATGGCCCACTAGCCCTGGATTTCCAACCGTCCCCTCACCCCCATTAAACCCCTCATCTGTGTAGACATCACCTACAGCCTCGGCGGTTCTGGAGTAGTCTCTGAGTTTCAGATTTGATATAGGTTGCTACAGGGAGATCTCGGGATCCCGACTCACCCAGACCCCAGGGGCCGGATCCTAGAGTTGCAGTGGCCTGGGTGGCGGAGGCGGAATCGGAGTCAGAGGCGACTGCCTTGGGACCGCCTAGTCTGAGAGCCAACGCAGCAGCGAAGGGGTTAGGCTCCCGCCTGACTCACCCTCCAAGCTTTAACCACCGCCGGCTATTTTTGCTTCAGAAGAGGGGCCCAGGCTTCCCAGCCGCCCCCGGCCCCTGCCAGACCGCAGCCCAGGGCCCCAACGGGCCCCGAGCTACAGCCTCTAGTTGACTCAGCTGCCAGGCAGCCAGGAGCGTTGGGTCTTGAGGCTGATACCCGCCACCAATATCATCACTTCCGTGGCCACCTGCCCACTCTCTTCGAACCCCCCCTTCAGTGGAACGCAACTGTTTTTTCTAGCTGTCCTTCTAGTGTATGGGGGGTGGGGAAGGTGATGGGAAGGTACTTTTGTGGAGGACATAGAGGAGAGTAGCCCCGGGTTAGGCGCAAGAACTAGAACTTGCACACTACAAAAACCTCTTCCATCAAGCCCGGGAGACTCATTCCTATCCTATAGTCATCTGTGCCACCGAAGGGTCTTCTCTGATGCTTCTAGATAACACCACTTTTCTGTGGTTCATTAGGGGGACCAGTATTTGTGAGTCTATATTAGGGAGGCTTTCAGACATCCCGGGTGACCAGCAACTGTGTTTTCCTCCACCTTGGGCTTTCTCTTCATCCCAGTCCCGGCTGGGACAGGGTCCTTTTCTTTAGAGGAGACCACCATGTTTGAGGAAGTTGCAGGTGGAACCTTGGAAAAAATTTATCAATCATCTTTGGTGCAAGGGAGGAAGAAAACAAGCATTTATTAAGCACCTACTATGGTGCTGTGTTAAACACTTTACAAATATCTCATTTGATCCCCAGAACAATCCTGGAGGTAGGTGCTATTATTAACCCCATTTTACAGTTGAGATCATTGAGTCAAACAGAGGTTAAGTGACTTGTTCGGGGTCACATATTTAATAAGCATATATCATGCACTTTGCTTAGCTCTAGAGATACCAAAAGCAAGCAAACAATGAAGTAATCCTTGACCTTAAGGAGTTTACATTCTAAAGGCAAGGGCAATAGATAAATGGAGGTAAAATAGTTTTGGAAGAGAGGGCACTAGCTGCTAGGAGGATAGGTAAAGGATTTTGGTAGAAGGTGATGCTTGGAGGAAATGTGGGATTATAAGAGGTAGAGGTGAGGAGGGGGTGCATTCCAGGCAAGGGGAGAAACCAATGCAAAAGGAGGAAGGGGAGAAATGGAATATCATGTGTAACCAACAGCAAATAAGCCAATATGGCTGGGTGGAAGAGTTTGTGGAAGGGAATAATGTGTAATAAGACTGGAAAGGTAAGATGTTGTGAATTGTTTTAAATGCCAAACAGGTAAGTGAATATTTGATCCCAGAAGTAATAAAGAGCAACTGGAATTTTTTGATTTTTTTTTCTTTTTTTGGTGAGGCAATTGGGGTTAAGTGACTTGCCCAGAGTCACACAGCTAGTGTTATATGTCTGAGGCCAGATTTGAACTCAGGTCCCTTCTGCTTTCAGAGCCCGTGCTCTATCTACTGTGCCACCTAGCTGCCCCAACAACTGGAATTTTTAAGGAGGAAAGGGTGACCTGTTCAGAGCTGTGCTTTAGGGAAATTACTTCTGGTTGTATGGATGGTCAATTAGAGTGGGGGAGGCTGGAAACTATTGCAATAGTCCGGGTAGAGGTAGTAAGTATGGCTGTTATAAGAGTGGCATGGAAAGGGATGTATTAAGAGATATTGTAGTGATGACAAGATTTGGCAACTGATTGGATAGGTAGGATGAGTGAGTGAGGACTCAGAGGGATGGGGAGAATTTGAAACTGGCAGTGCCTTTAATAGTAATAGGGAAGTTCAGAAAAATGGTTAGTTGAGGGTCTAGGGGAAGTAATGAGCTTTGCTTTGGAAATGTTGAGTTTGCTTGGGGACAGCCACTTTGAAATGTCAAAATAGGCAGTTGGTGATGTAAGTGTGGAGCTTAGGAGAGAGACCAGGGCTGGATATTTGGGAGTCATCTGCTTAAAGATGATAACTGAACCCATGAAAGCTGATGAGTTTGCCAATTGAGAGGGTGCAGAGAAAAGCCAGAAAAAACAGAATTTTGACAGTACACTCAGAGTTAGTGGGCATGACATGGATGAGGAACCAGCAAAAGCCAGAATGGAGAAGAACCAAAAGAAAGCAGTGTCTCCTTCTTTTTATTCTCTCCAATAACTATAAATTTCTCTGTTTAGACAGTTTAGTGTCACTGTTTCTTAAAATTAAAAAATAAATTGGATAAGGACTGGCCCTGTATGTTCATTGGTATAGGGAACTCCCAGATCAAGAAACTCCCTCTTTCAATGCAGTTCAACACATTCTCTGAAACCACGAATGAGTCTTAGAGTGATTTAGTTCACTGATAAATCAAGTAAATATGAGAGAGGCAGGACTTGAACCCAAATCTTTTAGCTACAAGGCCAGCTTTCTATCTACCACACCATATTGCCTTTCCATTTTTAAAAGAGCATATGTATATGCACATATTATACATATATAAATCTCTATATTTGGGCAGTGGTCTGCTTTCCCATATGTTATCTTATTTGATTCTCACAATAACCCCTTAAATACACTGTGGGGTTATTACTATCTCTATTTTATAGATGAATAAATGGAATGATTTGTCAAAAGTCACACAGAAGTATGGGAGCTAGGACCAGATTCCAATTCTTATCTCCCAAAATGCACCCAGGGCCAAACATTGTCTTTTATCCTTCCTCCCCTCCTTTCTCTCTCCATCCCCACTGTCAGTTTTAGGATTTTCTGCTACTAATGGTCCCAGAGTTCTGGTGCTCAGTTTGACTCAAAATTAAATAGTAGTAGTAGTAGACAGTGGCATAGGCTGGGTGGCCTGAGGACGACCCACAGTGCCCTCACCATGACCAGTTGGCTGGAGTCTGTAGGGCGGAGTTGGAGCTGGGCTGAGGACCCACACCCATTGTCTAACACCCCAAACACACAGTCCTGCTAGACTAGAACTTGGGAAGTGGGAGGGGGGAGAATCAGGGATACCCCAACTTCAGGCAATATACCGGTAAAAAGGGTGGAGTGAAGAAGAGGTGGCTAAAATTGTCTCCAAACTTTTTCCTTCCAGGAGATCCATGGTGCTGTTCTTCCCAGCAGAGGGGATGAAAAGAGAATGAAAGCAAAGGGGGAGAGGAATGAGATTCCTGTGAGGGAGGAGTAGAAGAAAAGAGAAGCTGGGTGCTGTAGAAGTTGGGGGAGCATGCTGCTAAAGCTGCGGCCAAGGCCAGGCCATTCCCCAGGGGCGGTCCCCCCCACAGCTTGTATTTGCCTTGGCTGGGGTTCCGGGTGACTCATGTGCTGTTGAGCTGCTGATAGGGACAGCCAGGGCCGGGAAACCCAAATTATAGGCTCACTGTGAACTCAGCTCTCTGTCCTCCTTATGCTCCTCAACTCTTACAGCTTTGTTCCAGGCTGCCACCAGAGGGCAATAAAGAGTTCACACTGCAAAAGTTTTGACATTGGTCCCACCTCAAGATCACTAGGGCAGAGACTCCATAGGGTAAATTCCATCTAGGTGATTGCCTGGGCTGAGAATTTGGGTGCTCCTTGGGACTGCTGATTGGAGAGAGAAAGGGGTGTCTCCACCAGCTGGTACTGAAGAGGATCTTAAACAGCCTACCACCACCATCAAGGAAGCAAAGCAGTATTGTCACACCCTTCAAACAACCCTCTCAGACCCTTCTGTTTCTTCTTGTTCCTTGAAAATCTGACAATAATGCTCATTTTAACCTGATTTTATCAGTATAAAGATGTCCAAGGGATGGGGCAACACACTATATGCTTTGTTCACCAATCCCTCACTTCTCCCAATCATTTTCCTAGCCAAGGGGTATCCTACCCCAAAAACTATCATCTGCCTTTTATACTTGACACCAAAAGCCAACCTTTTTATAGGGGAAAGAATGTGACTTGGAGTGCTTGAGTCCTGGTTACCTCACCATACC